ATTCAAGACGATCCCCACCTCTGTGGTGAGCATTCATAATATAATATAATATAATATAATATAATATAATATAATATAATATAATATAATATAATATAATATTATATTATATTTTATTATATTATATTATATTATATTATATTATATTATATATATTTGCTTTTTTTTATGAGTTCTAGTTGTGGTTTCTGCAGCAGCAGTTCATACAGAGAAAATATTATATTATATTATATTTTATTATATTATATTATATTATATTATATAATATTTTCTCTGTATGAACTGCTGCTGCAGAAACCCCAACTAGAACTCATAAAAAAAGCAAATACAGACGCAGCAAGATCTATAGCAAGAGTTGAGGTAAACTATCTTCAAAAGCAAATGCATGCATGCATGCATGTGTGTATACTTGTATTCTCGTTAGTTTTGCTCTCATGCATGCAATATTTCCTTTTCTTTTTTATTCTTTTTACTCTTTTGCATGCAGAGCCACTCAGTCTTTCTCTCGGGTGTAATGTGTTTCTTCTCTGTACACCTCAACGCTAAATTATGCTTATATATTTCTGTTTTGTTTTTGTGTGTTTTGGGGTGTATGTACTGCTTCTGTTTCTGCTTTGGGTTGTAGGGTTTAGGGTCTGTATGTTTGTTGTTTTTTTGTGTAAAACCCTAAACCCTAAACCCTAAACCCTAGACCCCCTGCTGTTGGGTTTTTGCTGCTTCAGAAGGCTAGCTGGAGAAAGAAAGATGCAGAGAAAAAACTACACAAAAAAGAAGCGGTGAGCAGCAGCAGCAGCAGCAGCTACAGCAGCAGCAGCAGCAACAGCTACAGCAGCAGCATGAGCAGCTACAGGAACAGCAGCTACAGCAGCAGCAACTGCAGCTGCAGCACGAGCAGCTACAGCAGCAGCAGCAGCTACAGCAGCAGCAGCTACAGCAGCAGCAGCTACAGCAGCAGCAGCAGCAGCAGCATATAAAGTGTATTTGAGGTGTATATGGATTTCTTTTGTTTCAGGTTTTGAGGAAACTGCAGCAAAAAGCAGAAAGCGGAAAAGACCTACAGGCGGGCCCCAAGGTTAAGAATGTGCGTGTGTAACTGAAATATAAATTAAAAAAAAAAATAAAAATAAAAATAAATAAAAATAAATAAATAAAAATAAAAATTTAAATTTAAATAAAAAATATAAAGCTAAATAATAAATATAAGCATAAATACAGCTGCACCTGCAGCAGCACCAACACAGAAAAACATGAATTGTAGATGTGAAACGAAAAAAAGAAAAAAAAAAAAAAGAAATATAAATCATGAATTATATTTATAAAAACAAAAATATAAATAAAATAAATAAAAAGAATATATAAAATAATATTATTTATTTTTTTTTTTTTTTTTTTTTTTTTTTTTTTTTTTT